GCCCTCGCTGGACGGATGCTGATGATGTAGCGCCTTTCAGGAGAGCAGCCCAGTGACCTTGGAAACTGAGGAGTGATGGAGTGGCCGTGCTGCGCTGCCATTGGCTGGAGAGGGGTGGTGCTAACGCTGTGGGACCCCCGGTGGGTGTGGCTACAGACAAGAGAGGAAGCAGAACTGTGAAAGCAAATGCACTACATCAGAGAGAGTGGTGTCGTTTTGCAGGAACATACACATATTTTGTATATTGTAACTTTAAATGTCATTTAATATATACAATTAGTTCCTTGAAAGTTCCTCACTTATTTCCTCTTGTTCCTCTCAAAATAGACTTTTTTCTCTCTCCCTACGAAAACTACTGTGAAGCATGGTAGAGTGATGGTATCAAATGATAATTTTCAATATTTGAACAGTTAAAGCCATATGGAACAGCACTTTACACAATACAAATTTAAATAACATTTAATATTACAGTTTATATAATTTATTATATATTATATATTTTAATACGTATGTTATATATTATGTTATATATTATTGTTTTATATCAAAATATCAAGTTTATGGGTAACATTTCAACACTAAATCAAATAATTAGGCCTAACCATATAATACAGTAACAAGAATATCCTATTTTGTATTTTTATTATTTACTGCCATTAACCGTTGGATTATTATTATTATTATTATTATTAGTCACCTTGTTTTCGCATCATTAGACACCAAATCCTCTGTAAAACAGCACCGCAGGTGTGTATTAAAGGTGGAAGGTGCAGCCTTGATTTATTCGGTTACAACTGGCTCGTTCACAGGTAATTTCGTGTTACAACTCATTTAAATTTCATTTCGATTCGGACATGACCAAAAGAGAGGATGTCTGAGTGGATCAATTGTTACCTAATCAAAATAATCCGACCATTTTAACCACGTTAGACGCCTTCACGCCCATTCCCCATTGAGAGATACGCACCTGCTAAAGTACAAACATGATAGGCGGGCCTTATCGCGCTGACAGTGTAATCAGCCAATCAGAGCGACGTGGAGGCACGCCCTAGAACTCGTAAGTAAATAAAGTGTCATGTTACCGACGCTATTTGAGAGAGCTTTAAATAACGACATATGTTTAAGTAAATTATTATTTGGAGCAAAATTTGAAGAGTATGTTTAACATTTACTAGTCGTAAAAATAATGTTACAATGCAAATATAATATATATTAATATAACTATACATTCGTGTGTAAATAAGCATTTATACATAATATATAATAACATGTAATAAGAATATAAATATGATATTATTTTGTTTTACTTTTGATTCTTGGATGGAATTTTCATTTTAGATATAAAAAAGCAAACTAGTGGCTCATCAAACATTTGCATTAGTTTATGAAACCACCGGATGGCGACAAAGTTGCGCTTTACTTTTGATGCAACTAAACATAGGCTATTTATTCGTCTATTCCGCTTAATCGATCGAAACAAGAAAATCAGCTGATAAAAGGGTGTAGTTTCACTAATCATGACTAACCTACACCTAAATTATAACAGACTGAATGTTCACTAAAAAAAAAATGTTACGAAAAAAACACCAAAAAAATAATAATAATCAGAAGATATATAAAAAATGTAGGAAGAAATTATACATTTTCATTTATTTAATATTCTAATGCAAACAGTCTTCATAAAACGAATACATTGATAAAAAATAATAATAAACGAGTCTACTAAATAAATTAGTACATGGAACCAACTGTTCAGCTAAAACCACCCACCGGGCCTTTCATTTATTGTTTTGACATAAAAGAGCTACACGCATAACAATCTTGTCAACTCTTTTATTTTTGTTTTCATTGGAAAAACTGCCCTTATGTCACTGCAGATGATGCTGCGGTAGAGCTTTCTGAAACGATGACATCATCCCCCTAGCCTTGGCAGTGGAGCCGAACACACGAAACACACTCCATTTTGGCTCCACTCCAAAGTGAAACCTTATATCACATCCCTAATATTCTTAGAGCCAACATGGCGGACCGAGAGCGACGGTTTCCTGATTGTTAATTGCTTATGAAGGAAGTATGCCGTGAAGCCCTTTAACGAAAGAAATGCGCCCTCATTGGTTTCCACGGTGTTTACGGAGCGAGAGCCAATCATGTGTGCCCGCTGATCCAGGTGATATCCCTCCTACCAGTATCTCCGGAGTAGGTTTATTTTGGTTTACCCCCCGCTCCTGTGCCGCCGCCATTAGAGCCATTCACATCTGCAACAGAAATGGGAATTCCGGTGTTTAAAACCCACTAAAACCCGCTTTGATCCGAAGATCGCCGTGGCGCTTGGGGTTTCAGAGGAAGGGAGAGAAATAACATGGGTGTTCGGCCGCAGAATCGCTCTGCTGTTGCGGTAGATTTTCGGTGCTGAGCTGGATTTGGACCCGGATCGGATTGGGTTTCGGTAGGACAGACGTTCGGTTTGCAGAAGGGCGAACTCTGGAACGGTAGTGTTTGCAAACTGAAGTGTGGAGGGCAAAGACAGGTAAGGGTCTTGATATTTCTGTGGGGGAAAAAAATCACTGTAACACTATATGCAACAGGGCAAATTAATGCACCTTATTTTTTTAGTTTCCTAAAATGCTCGCGTATATATTTTTTTAGAAATATTTATTTATGTATTTATTTTTACATTTATTTGTCATTTAAGGAAGTGAAATTGTCAATAGTCCGTGTACATTCTGAACAGAAGTAGCTGTTTGTGTTTATTTACAGTGCAGATACAAACACCGGAGCTCTTTTATGGTGTTGTTGTAGTTCGGCTAAAATCGACACCTTGGTGTGGAATTCCGAAGCGAGCCGAGAGTGTTTACAGTGTATCAGCGCAGAGCTTGTGCTGGATACATTTGAGCTGTATACATTTGAACTTTATACATTATAGCGGCTGAAATGCTTTCACATTCCATTTCCAGCGCCCGTTATAGAAACACTCCTCTCACCGTTATAGCCCGGTTTCCAGTCGTGTAAGAGGAGGTATGTGTCAAAACCTACCGAGATATCTAAACGGCATTTTTGCGTTGTCAGAGGCGCGTCCAGCAGTTTGACAGCTCACTATCCAAACTGACAGATGATGACCCTTCAAAACATTGAACCCTGCTTTCGGAAGGCAAAACCTATATTGTCTTAAATTTTTTAATGTTTATGATATAAAATGTGAGGTATAAAAAGTATAGTATCAGATGGTGATACCATGGTACTGAGTGATTATCATATATATTATGTACCAAACAAAATATATGATTCTTCAAACTAATGGTTTGTTTTTGATTATTGATTAATTTGTCTTCAGAAACAGTTTTTTTATTATTATTTTTATTCTATATATATATATATATATATATATATATATATATATATATATATATATATATATATATATATATATATATATATATATATATATATATATATATATATATATATATATATATATATATATATATATATATATATATATATATATATATATATATATATATATATATATATATATATATATATATATATATATATATATATATATATACATGTACCATGGTATTCTTTGACATACTTTGAAATGTCGTGTAAATTCTGTGGTATGTGTATGTGAATCATTCAGTACCGCATTATTACCATCTTTATCATAGTACCATGTTACCACCATAGTCAGGGAAATCTAGGCCATCATGAAAAAAATCGTCGCTTTTTTTAAACAAATGTTAATAACCAAAATCTAGTCCAATAACCAAATGAGAGTGTAGGAATGTAGGTCAAAGATGTGACCGTTTGCCCCAGTGAGCAGGATGCATCTCTGTCGTTGCCCACCTCTTTGGACTGTCAGGAATAATCCAGAGTCCTGAACAAGTTATGGCTTAAAAAGCCATCCAGAATAAATTGTATTGTGCGTTTTTATTACAGTAGCAAATGGAAAGATTAAGATCATTCACAAAGAGGGAGAAACATGTGAATGAAAAGACATAACAAAGAGATTTGTGTATGTTACTGTATAAAGAGACATGGAGAAAAGCACAGAATATGCATGCACTGTCACGTATTCTATCAGGACTCCTTGTGATTTGTGCTGATTTCAATGCTATGTTGATCTTGTCAACCCTTTAAACTTTATGCTTTTTGTCATCATTATTTTAATCAAGTGTGTATGGTAATTTATAAATAGTCCAAGCCAGTTAAAAAGGAAACTGCAATGCATTGATTGGTATCAGATGGTAATGCAGTGGTATTTTTGTATTTACCATAGTACTTAAGTGATCACCATATTCTTATGCTATGATATTTACCTGGTACTTCAGAAAAACTATTGTTTTAAATTGTAAGTGACTGTATTACAGTGGCATCCAAAAAAAAATTAAGGTCACACTGAAAATCTTGAATTTAGGATTTTGACAATTAAAGAAAATGGTAAATGTAAAAAATAGCCTGCACTATTTCTAGGTCACTAATCAAATGTAAGCACATTTGTGACATCGACCATGCAAGTCATTTGTACAAAAGGTCCATTGAAGCACAAGATGCTCTTGGAACATTCTCAAACCTTGCTGCATTACATGAATCATCAGGTTTTCCCTCAACTTGTGGATTAAATCAAATTATAGCAAAAGGGGACAAGCCAAATAGTGTTCTAAAATTCAATCAAAGTTTTAAATTAAGTTTAAGTTTAGGGTCGGTACGATTAAAGTTAAAAAGAATAGTATTGTGAAATATTATTAGAATTGAAAAGGAATATTTTCTATTTGAATATATTGTAAAATGTAATTTATTCCCGTGATGCAAAGCTGAATTTTCAGCATCATTACTCCAGTCTTCAGTGTCACATGATCCTTCAGAAATCATTCTAATATGCTGATTTGCTGCTCGAATAACATTTATTGTTATCATTGTTGAAAACAGTTGTGCTGCTTAATATTTTTGTGGAAACCATGATGCAGTTTTTTCAAGACTGATGACTAGAAGGAAAAACACCAGTTATTTAAAAAATATATGTTTTTGGAATATTACAAATGTCTTTACTGTCACTTTTGATTACTTTAATATGTCCTTGCGGAATAAAAGTATTAATTTATAAAAAATAAAAAAAATACTTTAAAAAATGGCATTATATTGATCATATGCTTATCTATTTAAAAAAAATATATATATAGAATTTGTAACAATGTAGAAGTTTTTACTTATTGACTCCAAACTTGTTTTTTTTTTTTTTACATATTATATTTATTTTAATATTTTTGGAATGAAAAATGGTAATAGTTTAGAGTAATTTTACTCTGAGACCTTTGGATCCCACTGTTTATCAACATAATTTCTATTGTCAAACCACATAGCTCTTTCCCCAGCAAGAACTAAACTTTGCCTGTCTGTGACTATTGCAGGAGAAGCTGGAGGCGCTGTGAGCGTGAGAGAGTGAAAGCAGGTGAAAAACGGAGGACTGGCGGGAGGGAGGGAGGGGGGCGATCAGCTGCGGTGACCGGCGCGAGCGAGGATGACAGATTTTGGCTTGAAGTGGAGCTGCGAGTACTGCACCTACGAGAACTGGCCGTCCGCCATCAAATGCACCATGTGCCGGGCCCAAAGGCACAACGCGCCCATCATCACCGAGGAACCCTTCAAGAGCAGCTCCAGCCTGGACCCGCAGCTCTGCACCTCCCAGCTCATCTGCCCTGACTCCAGCGCCCGGCCTCGGGTGCGGATCACCGACGAGCTGCCCGAGACCAGCAGCAAATGGTCCTGCCACATATGCACCTATCTGAACTGGCCCCGTGCAATCCGCTGCACGCAGTGCCTCACTCAGAGGCAGCAGGGCTCCCAACACGGCCCGCTCAGTCCGTCTGAAGCCCCACAGACCTCGGACTCGGGGTCCAGATCTACTCCGGTCACCTCGGATCCGTGCGAGGAGTATAACGATCGGAATCGGCTCAACATGCACGTGCAGCGTTGGCCGTGCTCGGCTTGCACCTATGAGAACTGGCCAAAGAGTCTGAGGTGTGTGGTTTGTGACCACCCTAAACCCAGCGTTTCGCCCGAGGCGCCTCAGCAGGATTCGGAGGCGGAGAGTGCCACGTCCCCGTCGATAGTGAATGAGCAGGAGCGGGATAACCTGAGGACAGCGGGGGGAGGGGGGGTGAGCAGGGGGAGGCAGAGGAAACTCTCTCCACCTACGTGTAAAGGACAGGCGGAGGTAAAGATCGAGCTGGCGTCGGGAGCGGTGGGCAGCGATAATGAGCAGGAGGCGGACTTTAAAAAACTCAAACAGATCCGGAACAGGATGCGGAGAAGCGACTGGCTCTTCCTGAACGCCTGCGCTGGTGAGAAATGAACCCCATTAGTGCCAGATACAGTTTCCCCAAAATGTATTTGGACACTTAAAATGCATTTTGAAAATGCCATTGCATTAGATTGAGTGTCTGTAATATCTGCGCTCAGATGCTGCAGGAACTTTTCTCCTCACTAACTTTACATCCGTTTTGCTTAATGTCTTTTAGTCAGCTGGTGTTTTGGTGATTTTTTTTCTTTTTTTTTTGTGGATGTATGAAGTCAGTAGCTGAGTGTAGTTCATCCCATTAACTAAGAACATGTTCAGATACTTAAAACATTTTTTTTATATATGTTAAACCTAACAAACATCTTTATGTGAAATGTTTTGCTTCATACACTGCCGTTCAAAAGGTTGGGGTTGGTAAGATGTTTTTATTGTTTTTTTGTTTTTTTTTAAGAAATCTCTTATGCTCACCAAGGCTGCATTTGTTTGATCAGAAATATAGCACACACAAAAAAAAGAGTAATATTGTTAAATATTACAATTTAATAGAACTGTTTTCTATTGTAATATATTTTTAAATTAAGTTTATTCATTTGATACAAAGCTGAATTTTCAGCATCATTACTCCAGTCTTCAGTGTCACAGGATCCTTCAGAAATCATTCTAATATGCTGATTTTCTACTCAAGAAGCAATTCTTATTATTTTTTCGATGTTGAAAACAGTTCATATTGTTTGTGGTACTTTTTTCAGGAATTTCAAATAGAAAGTTTAAAAGAACAGCATTTATTTAAAATCTTTTGTAATATTATAAATGTTTACTGTTACTTTTAGTCAGTTTAATGTGTCCTTGCTGAATAAAAGTATTAATTTATAAGTCAAACCCCCAAACTTTTGAACAGAAGTGCACATATACCAAATTTTTTATTCAAAAAAAATAAATAAATATCACATTTCTTAAATGCATTGGCATTATGGTAACACTTTACAACAAGATCGAATTTCTGAACAATAATCCAATAGCTAACATATTTAATAGTCTTTGAAAATTTTAAATAATAAAAATACAGTTGTCCATGTTAATGCATTAAGTAATGTTAACACATAACTTTTGATTTTAAAAAGTAGTTAAATGAGCAATAACTATGATTAATTAATTCTCTATAAGTATTTTTCATTGTTAAAGGTAGTTAATGATAACTAATGTAGTTTACTAGTGTTGACCTTGTTGTAAAGTGTTACGTAAATTATCAGTTGTGACTAAGTGTACACATCATTTTTGGGACTTTGTACAATATCTTCTCCCTTTGGCTCACTATTTGATTGGCATGTTTTACTGCGATGTGAAGCTGAAATTCAAAGCTGAATCTTTTGATATCAGCTGGTATCAAACCTTTATTTTCATCACTAAGCCTGTGGGAGACAGTTTGCATGCGCATGGTTTGATGCAAACTGACAGATTTTGTCTCGTGGGCTTTGCTACTAGGGAACACTTCTGTTAGCACTCTGCTTTCCTGCATCAGAGTATGAAATCATTGATCTCTAAAGCAGCGTCACTGTCTTCTGGGAAATACCTATAGCTCCTATAGGTCTGATGGGAATTGAATTTGAAATTTATACTGCAACTTCAAAGAGTTGTGAGCGAGGAAGTCAACCCACTCATATGCAACGCACACTTTCATCAGGTGTAGTGGAGGGGGATCTGGCCGCCGTGGAGGCATACAAGTCATCCGCCGGTGATATCGCACGTCAGCTGACCGCAGACGAGGTGCGGATTCTCAACCGTCCATCTGCGTTCGATGCTGGTTTTACTCTGGTGCATCTGGCCATCCGCTTCCAAAGACAAGACATGCTCGCGGTGCTGCTCACGGAGGTCAGAGTTTTTACATGCGTAGACGGAGAGAAGTCGTTTCACAGTGTGATATTGTAAAATGATTCTATATTTATGAATGTACTTCAGGTGTCTCAGCAGACGGCGAAGTGTATACCAGCTCTGGTGTGTCCTGAGTTAACAGAACAGATCCGCAGAGAGGTGGCGGCAGCACTTCACAGGCGTAAAGGAGAGTTTCCCTGTAACTTCTTCACTGACCTCGTCACCTTCACATTACCAGCAGGTGATCACTCACATTTTCTAAAGACAAACATTTCCCTTCTGCCGCAGGTTCTCACGTATTCACACCACATGAGTCACAAAAACCTATTCCAAGTGGGCCGATTGTCTGTGATATTTCAACCAGGGTTATTAAAGTTAACTAAAACTGAAACCATGAAACAATTTCTGTTTCTTGAAATAAAATAAACTTTAGCTAAATTAAAATAAAAGTTATAAAATAAAAAAGAAAAGAAAATACTAATGATACTAAAATAACGTTTACCTTCAAATCCACTTAAGATGTTAATCAAGATGTTGATCTTGCTACCAGAAGCATTGCAATTTAGTTCTTCATTATGCAGGGATATATCATACTAAATTAAATAAATAAATATATATATAATGAAATGATTAAATAAACCACAGAAGCCGTAGAATGAAATGTAAATATAACATCAAATAAGTCTTAAAATGTAAAACATCATGGAATATGAATTGAAATACACCTTGACATAAAATATGACGGACAACATAAAATATCATGAAATAACTGAATACATCATGAAATGTTGCAACCAATAAATATAAACATAGTGAAAAGCAATGTTGTTTTAGTATCTTTGAGATATTATAATTATTTTTATTGTTATTTTTAATTAGTTTATAATTATATTTTCTGTTTTCATTTTAATTTTAATTTAGGTTAAAGCTGTCACTTTTATTTATTTTTTTTTTAATGTCTATACTTTTTTTTTTTTTATATATATATACATTTTTATTTCAGTCTTAGTTATCTTAGTACATCATGTTAAACTAAATAAGAAATGTCCGTTGGCAAATAGCAGATTTTTTAAATATTTCATTTTATTTCAAATAATTAACATTTTTTATGGTTTTAGTTAACTATAATAACCCTCATGAAAGTGAGTATACATAAATAAATAGGGTGTGAAATGTATTTATGCAAAAAGTGACCTAAAATATGACGTGATGTATACCTTGTAATGAACATTGTGTAAAAGTGGAAGAAAAATCCATAATGTGTCCCATTTTTGTTTTTCTTTTGTAGATATTGAAGACCTTCCCCCAAATGTTCAAGAAAAACTCTTCGACGAGGTCCTGGATCGAGATGTACAAAAAGGTAACGTGATGTTTTAGCATTTATTTTATGCTTTAAACCAGAAAATAATGAGCAGCACATTAAAACACTAGTTCCTCAACTAGTTCTACTTCAGGACAATGGATATTTTGATGGTAAACTGTGGTCGGCACAACGTTGGCCTTGTTTGCAAGTAAACCCGTATTTAATGCATAGGGGTTGTATTTTCTTTTACCTTGCATAATTGTGTTCATAGTTTTGAAAAATGTCACTGAACCTGTCCACATTGACATCTAATATAACTAACTTCTACCAAGTTAACAGTAAAATTGTGCCAAGTTTAGGGGCACAGGCTTTGAAATCAACATCAAAAGATATGGGAGGCATTTTGTCCCACCTTTTAAAAATTAATCAGCCTATTTGATTTTGCAGTCCCAATTATACAGTTAGTTGAATTTTGTTATTTGCATTTAGTATCAGAACAAGCCCATGGCCTGTTTTTGGGTCGTGACCCACCAGTTGAGAAGAATCTGATCTAGAAAATGCCTTAGCTGGTCTATTTCTGTTGCATCCCTGAAGAGCAGCGTGCAGCTAGCAGTAACAAAATTTATCACTGGATGTGCAAAGAAACGCATTGAGAAACTGATTTATTGTGGTGTTCAGAGCTGGAAGAGGAGTCTCCCATCATTAACTGGTCTCTGGACCTGGGCACGCGTCTGGACAGCCGGCTGTATGCTCTGTGGAACCGAACCGCTGGAGATTGCCTTCTGGATTCAGTGTTACAGGCCACATGGGGGATTTACGACAAAGACTCTGTCCTGAGAAAAAGCCTCAACGATAGCTTGCACGACTGCTCTCACTGGTAAGACTGGACATTAATAGAATAAAACGTGAATTTTGAGATTTACAGTTGAAGACAAAATTATTAGCCCCCTATAAAATATTTCATTATTTTTTTAAATTATTCCCAAGTGCTCTTTGAGAAGATTTTTTCAACACAGCATTTCTAAACAATAGTTTATTTAGGAAGCTTGGAATGTTTGTAATATAAATAGAAACAAAATTATAACCAAGAAAAAAAAAGTCTACAGGTCAAAATTATTAGCCCTCTGATGTTAATAGTCAATGGTGTATCCCTTTTGCTTGATAACAGCCTTTAGTCTTTTGTTGTAGTTCTCAACAAGTTTCAGGCATGTCTCCTGAGGAGTCGCAGTCCATTCCTCCTTAGCTAATCTCTCAAGCTCCTCCAGATTTGTTGGTCTCCTGGCATGGACTTTGGCCTTCAGTGTGCCCCACAGATTTTCTATTGGATTCAAGTCTGGGCTTTGTGCAGGCCAGTCAAGGACGTTCACTTTGCTCATTTGGAGGTAGTTCTACACCAGAAATGAGGTATGCTTTGAGTCGCTATCATGCTGGAAGACAAAACGTCGACCCAAACCATCTTTTGTTGCCTAAGGGTTGTCTTTTAAAATCTTCTCGTAGTCTTCCATTTTCATGATTCCTTTGACCCTGATGAGATTCCCAGTTCCAAACGCTCTGAAACATCCCCACAGCGTTATACTCCCACTGCCATGTTTCACTCTGGAGACAGTGTCCTTTGAGTTGAGCACCTGTCCCTTCTTACTCCAAACATAGGCAACATCTCTATGGCCAAAGAGCTCTACTTTTGTCTCATCTGACCAAAGGACACGTTTCTAGTATACATAGTTTTCTCTAGGTTGTCCTTCAAACTTCAGTCTAGCTTGGCGGTGTCTCTTCTTCAGAAGAGGAGTTTTTCTTGGTCGGCATCCTCGCAGTCCATTCCTGTCCGGGCCTCTAGTGTCCGTCTTCGTTGAGATATCAATCCCAGACTTGGCTAAATCATTCACTAGTGTCTTGGTAGTTGTTCTTGGGTCTTTAGAAACCTCTCTCACTATTTGTTTTTATAAAGTTTTTGAAATCTTTCACTTCGTGCCTCTTTTCTCCACTGTGTGGGTCTCTTCAAACTTCTTGATAATACTTCTCACAGCTGTTCTTGACACTTGAAAACGCTTTGATAAATGTGTATATGCTTCTCCTTCTTTGTGATCATTAACAATTCTTTTTCTCAAGTCTAAATTCATTTTTTTTGTCTTTGCCATGATGACAGTGCATATTATTTTACTAGGTGTTTTGAAAGATACTAATCCTCAGTTTACAGTGCAATTTAAAGGCTTGGAGGATTAATAGGTTAATTAGGCAAGTTAGGTTAGTTAGACAAGTCATTGGACAACAGTGGTTTGTTCCATAGCCAATCAAACAGATCATTTCTTAAAAGGGGGCTAATAAAATTGACCTTAGCTATTTTTTTTTTTTTTTTAAATAATTATTTTATTCCCGGCAAATTTAAATAAATAAGGCTTTCTCCAGATTAAAAATATAATAAGAAATACTGTGTTAAAATTCCCTTGCTCTGTTAAACATCACTTGGGAAATATCTGAACTGAAATTTCATAGGGGGGCTAATAATTTTGTCTTCAACTGTATATAATAGTATTTAGATACTATTAAGAGTTTTTATTAATACTTTGAATTCATTTTTATTTTAATATATATATTAATTTAGGTTAAACTTTTATTAATTTTGTGTTTTGCCATTTCTATTCATTTCTAAGTATATTTGTATCGTTTTTATTCATTTTAATTTCAGTTTTAGTTTGTTATTTTAGTACATCAAGTTAACTAAACAAGCTAACTCAAGTTCACAAACTAAATGAAAATGTTACATTGGCAACTAGCTGAAATAAGATCATTTTCAGTTTATTTTATTTCAAGTAATGAAAGGTTTTTTCATGGGTTCTGCAGGTCTTAAAAAGGTCTTAATTAGTCTTAGTTTTGAATTCTTAATGTTTTCACAAATTAAGGCCTTGAAAGGCTTAAATTGGAGCTGAAAGCCCTAAATTCATAAAGACATGGCATTAAATGTTGCATGCACTGCAAAAAAATTTATATCTTCCCAAGTATTTTTATTTTGTTTTACGATACAAATATCTAAACATTCTTAAATCGAGATACATTTACTTGAGATGCAAATTAAATATGTCTTAAGTCTTGTTTTCTAAAAAATTGAACAAAATTAAATGAGTTTATGCTTTAAAGAAGAACAAGTATCTCTCAATGGGGTGTTTTTTCCTTTGAATTAAGCTGATTTGTCTGAGGCCGTTGGCAGATATTTTTTCTTGTTTTAATCATAAACTCGCTTCATTTTGATCAATTTCTCATAAAACTAGACCAGTTCTTTTGCTTCTCAAGTAAATGTATCTTGATTGAAGAATCTTTAGACATTTGAACTGTAAAACAAGACAAAAATACTGAGGAAGAACAACACTTTTGCAGTGTGAACAGAAGTTACAGTATAAGTTGTTATTATAATTTACTGTTTGGGAGAGCAGATGTATTCAAGGCATAAGCTTCTTATTTTTTTGTAAAATAAATTAAAAAGTAATGGAGATCTGTTGGAAGTTGTATTTTCAAACTTTAAAGTGATGCTAACTCAAGACATTTACATTTAGAGACTTTATTGGTGTATTGTCTTCCATTCAATTTATTCTTTGCTTGGTCTTAAAAAGGTCATACAAATTCTTATATTTACCTTCATAAAAGTTTAGTTAACTGTAATGACCCTGAGTCATGTTAACTACCCAGAACACGCTAGTATTGTTTTGCAAAGGTGGCACCGCACGTTTTCTTCAGCAGATCTAGTCATTATTGTTATCTTTGCCTAATTGCATCTGGGTTTATTCACATCAGTGTAATTGCATCTGTGTATTTTATCACAGATATAATGTGTGTGTTTTCCAGGTTCTACACGCGCTGGAAAGAGTGGGAGTCCTGGTATTCCCAGAGCTTTGGTTTGCATTTTTCTCTACGGGAGGAGCAGTGGCAGGAGGACTGGGCCTTTATACTGTCATTAGCCAGTCAGGTAAGCAACCAGATGAGAAAACATTCGGATCTCACCACCTACTGAAATAGCTGCAGTTGACTCATACAGAAACACACATGCAGACACACATCCCACCCGAGAGGATGAGGGCTGAACAGATGTCTGAGCAATGAGCACTTTTTATAGCACCGTTTCCATTAGTTGGTTGTTTCCATACAGATCTATAAAAGATTTTGACAGTTTCATTGTGCGTAAAGTCAACATGGCATCAAAACTGACTATATTTACTTTCATAAAATTTGTTTTCAGAAAAGATTTTTATTGTGAATGATTCATCAGTGCGTGTTATTCCAAAGAAACAAAATTATTTTCTTCATATGCTTTTATCAAGATGTAACCATTTACTCCAACTCTAAACAGTTTTTCTTTTTGGCTGCTTTGAATGGATCATTGAATATCAATATGTGACCCTGGAGCACAAAACCAGTCTTAAGTCGCTGGGGTATATTTTTAGCAATAGCCAAAAAAACATTGTATGGGTCAAAATTATAGATTTTTCTTTTATGCCAAAAATCATTAGGACATTAAGTAAAGATCATGTTCCTTGAAGATATTTTGTAAATTTCCTACTGTAAATATATCAAAACTTCATTTTTGATTAGTAATATGCATTGCTAAGGACTTCATTTGGATAACTTTAAAGGCGATTTTCTCAATATGATTTCAGATGACGTATAAAAGTCAATTTCAAAAAATTGACCCTTATGACTGGTTTTGTGGTCCAGGGTCACATATG